TCTCTACTTTTAAGATTAATATAATGATTTTATGGTATAATGGTATTGAAAAGATTACATGAGACCATTTTTTGTTTCTTTTTGCTTTTTAAATAATCAGTGAAAAAAAAAAAAATAAACCCCACAAGAATAGAACAGCAAGAAAAAATAGACCATAAGATGATGTGGAATTTTACTCATTTAGACATTAATTTTCTTCCTATATTTGACCTGTACTTGCAAATATTAAATTAGTAATTAAGAGGAAGTTAGTAGTACTTAAAATATTTCTTCTATTATCAGGCAGGAAGGCAGAAAATAATAATAATAAAGGCAATCCACTATGATCTTTCACCACTTCTATTTTTCTCTTCTCTTACAAAAAAGGAAACGGTCCAAAATATTGCCCTATATTATATTCTCTCTCAACTGGAGCTTACTTTCTGGCATATGTCTTAAAAGTCATCCATGCATCCCACTTCCCATTCATCATGACTGTGGTGCAAATATATATATGAGAATTTGCATTTAAAAAATATCTTCAACAGCCACTCAAATATTTCTGAAAGAATAAAGCTTCTCCTTTTGTATTTCATAATGTATAAATACTCAGTGGAATATGAGGATCATTCTCTCCCTGAGAGCAAAGGCTTTCAGAGCTTTACTCTAGCATCAGTACAGGAAGGAGAAAGCTTTGGAATCTTGACATCAATTTTCCCCCTTCCTCTAAGTCATACTCTGATATTTATGATTTTTTTTTTGAAAACCTCTTGAAACTTGTCAATATCATGTTCATTTGTTGATTAGAATGGTAAAGAATGCTACTGTCACTTAAGCCAAGTTATTTAACCTCTCTGCATTAAAATCCATCTTCTGTAAAATGAAGGAGTTGGACTATTCGAGTTGTAAAACCCCTTGAAGTTGTGAAAATCTATCTAGTTTTAAGAGAATTATGACCTGTAGTGTTCCCTCACACCATAGAGTATGTTATAATATCCATGGATCTGTCCTCCTTTTGTTGTTGTTGATGACCCTGACCCTCTCTTTTCTTTTTATGGCTTCCCCCATCACCTCTCTCTTCCTACCTCCACCCCCACCCCCATCTCTGCCAGCTGTTCTTCTTCAATACTTTTGTGTCAACAAGAGCATTAGTGTAGAAGTTGCTCACATGTCCTAGTGTTCCAGATGGCTCTGTCTGAGCATTGCTGCATTGACCCTGAACACCATAGAGTTGGCAAAGTGTGGGAATTGGCATGACGGGTCACAGGAGAGAAAACTCCTATAGCTGGTCCTGAGAACTCTGTTCTCAAAAACCTTATCAATAGATAGAAAGATGTGGTGGGAGCCTGAGAAGATCTTTAGACACAGTTTCTAGGGAGAGATGGCGGCACACTATTTTGTCTGCAAGCTATGTTGTGCAATAGTCCAAGATAAGATTTGCTTGCTTGTTTACAAGCTTGCCTTGTGGTTAATGAGCCTAAGACCATAAGTAGCCAAAGAACTGTAATTTGAGGGTCACAAAAACCACCTCTCCTTCATATATTTCCCTCCACTAGCCCCACTGTGATCCCTGTAAATACTACCTTTTCTGGTGATATTTTTAAAAATGCAAATATCGACCAGGTATGGTGGCTCATGCCTATAATCCTAGCACTCTGGGAGGCCGAGTGGGAGGATCACTTGAGCTCAGGAGTTTGAAACCAGTCTAAGCAAGAGTGAGACCCTGTTTCTTCTAAAAATAGAAGAAATTAGCCTGGCGTGGTGATGCATACCTGTAGTCCCAGCTATTCAGGAGGCTGAAGCAGGAGGATCACTTAAGCCCAGGAGTTTGAGGTTGCTGTGAGCTAGGCTGATGCCAAGACGTTCTACTCAGGGCAACAGCGTGATACTCTTGTCTCTAAATAAATAAAAATGCAAATATCATGTGGAAGAATAAGGACCCCCAATCATTTGTATTATATTGTTAATTTCAATGAGGTTAATTTCTCACTTTGTTTACATTTCAAGAAAAAAATGTGAAGAATACATTACTTAACCTATCAGTAGCATTTGAACAAATTGACCCTAATCTCTTTTCTAATACACTTTTACCATTGGCTTCCAAGGTCACCACACTTTGAGTTGTCCTTCTCTCTCCTCATCCACATTTGCTGTTTCTTTCTCTTCTCTGTAACTACTTAACTTTGGAGAGATTCAGGAATTGGTCCTTAGTTCTCTTTACCCCTCCATTAAAACTTACTTTTTTTTTTTTGCCACTTTACAATAAATCCTTCAAAATACAGAATATGTTTGTAACCTTTTTGGTAAAGAAGGTATAAAAGATTAGCATTTAGAACATGATTTCTCTATCTCTTTGATTTCCAACCCCCAGGCTGTAGAGCTCTCCACCACCCCCAGCCCCTTCCGTTGAGGACCACTGCTCTGTCTCATCACTATTGACATTTAGAGCCAGATAATTCTTTGTGGTGGGGGTTGTGTTGTACGTCATATTCATAGAATGATTAGCAGCCACTACCCACTACATGCCAGTAGCATCCCCTAGTTGTAATGACTATAGATGTATCTGGACATTATCAAATGTCCTCCTTGGAAAGGGGGAAAACACCCCCTAAAACACTGATTTAGAGTAATTTTATATAAAACAAAAAATCCTTTAATTATGAAAATTATTAGCCCTTGACATAATTTGGTCGGTTCATTTTTTAAAAGTTTGTATTTCTTTTAAAAGAATGCATGGATGGCATTAAGACTAGGCAATGATAAGCAATGAAGAAAGTGCCCAGAGTGTTTTTTCTTAAATAAATTTTATTCCTGAAGATGGTTCAGGGTTGCTTTTGAGCTTTTATTTTTTAATCTCCATAATACTGCCGTTTGAAATGCACCATGGGGTCGTCACTTATAACCTACCCTGTCAGACAGTATGTATATCATCTCAGTTACCTTGAAGAACTGTGCAAAGTATCTGTTATTACAGTATGATCAATGGAAACAGATGTATTTGGGGATATATTTCCATATGGTATTCCAGATGTGTAGTCTTTGTTTACCAAATAATTATTGTAAATTTCAGAGAAAAGGCAACAAATAAATATGTATTTCCATCACTGGATAACACATTTTGTTCTTCAGGCTTTGGAAAACAGGATGTGCATCTTTTGGTGCTTGTTTCTTTTATTTTTAATGATTGATAAAGTGACATCTTTATTGGGACTTAAATTGTCTTTAAAGAGGAACAGTTCTAATTGGCAAAAAAGAATAAGAATGTATTTCTTAATGTTGCATAATTGCCTTTACAAAATCATCCCATAAAAATACTCATTATAAACATGGCATTCAAAAAATGTCATTCATTAACTTGGAAATAAAATTATAATTACAATTACAAAGCTTTGAGGAGATTCTGCTAGGAGGGCTGCATGCTAATTGCACAGTTTAAGGCTTCTAATTTAATATTAGGCAAAAACATGAAAATCATCTCAAGAGAAAGACATAAGAGTTTAAGGACTGGGAGTGTTAAAAAAAAGTTTCCCTGCTGCAATCACATTGGATTAAAAGTAATATAGAGGAAATTCCCTGTGCATAAAAACAGGCCTTTATTTTGGTTGGGGGCTTAGAGGGAGGTCCGTTTCCCTATGCAGTCCCAGTCGGGGAGCATATTTAACAGCAGCGACTGCCTGGAGTTTTTGAGTGGGGCGCGGGCTGGGCTGTGTACCAACAGCCTCGTCAACTGCAGACGGAACTGCAGCATCCCTTCCTGCAGCAGCGCGCCGGCCATTGGCTCCTCGGTGACACGTGACTGATAGAGCCTTTTCTGTGTCTTTTCTCGCCCATCTGTGTGCAGGGCACTGATAGGCCAGGCTGATGCGCAGGCAATTTATCATCTTGATCTCCCACTGAGTCAGGGAGCTCTCCTGTCACCAGTATTGATTTCAGAGGATGGACTAAATTTCCTAGGATTTCCATTAAGAATTAAGAAAAAAGCCCTAAGCACGCAGGGTAGCCAGACAGACATGGATATGAGATGGCACTGTGAAAACTCGCAGGTAGCTTCTTCTATCACAGCCGCTGCTGAGCACAGCTTAGATCTGCAGCATGCAGGGTTTAAGATACCAGAAGCCTAAGAATAATAATGATGAAACTAAGAATAAACTCATTTGGATAAACTAATTTTAAGATTTTGATTAAAATATTTTTTCTTGGAGATTGCATGTCAAATTTATGCACGCTCTGTATGAAATGTTGAGAGGTTGTTTTAAATTTTAAAATGTCCTTAAACCCTGAGCATGGTTGCTTCTAGTTTTGTCTGCTGCTTTTCGTGAGCTTCAGAGGTTTTCTAGCATGCTTTGTGGCAAAAACAAACAAAACTTGTGTGTGTGTGTGCATATAAATGTATATATGTATTAACTTAGTTCAAGTAAAAGCATGAATAAACGCTGCTTTCAATACTTGACAGACTGCTTTATTATTGTTGAGTTGGTGAAAATTTTGCTTAAATATGCTTAGATTCTGACCATGCATGCTTTTGCGGCATAGTAGAATTTTCGTGGGAATTTGTAAAGGTGGAATGTCTTAATTAGATGCATGTTTGGTACAACAAAAAATGTATTAGTGGTCAATGATTAAACCTGATTAACTAATGGAAATATTTCATGGTAAGATGGGAGTAACATTTATTTACGCTAATTAATTCTGCTTATTGAAAATATGCGTGTATGGGATAATGACAGTGTTTATATTTTTGAAATATTAATTTTGATTATTTCCACAATAGTAAGATTTTAATTTTTTAAAATGCTTCCCAGATGAAAGAACTAAAATCATTTTTTTTTAACATTTTAGTCTAGGAAAGGATTCAAAGACTACTGTTTGTGTATGTGAGAGATTATGTGCATATTCATGTGTGTGTGAATTCCTTGGGGGAATTGTTTGATACCCTACTAACTAGTCCTTATTCTCAAGAAGAGTAAAAATGCTTTGGCATTCAAACATTCCCTAGGCCCGTGGGAATTAGAGCTAGCAGAAGCAGGAGTATAGCCAGATGGGATTGGCACGCTTGGCAGTGATTGGAGACAATAGGTGGGGGTGGAGCAGATGGAGGACAGAAGGGATTGCATATCAGAAAGAAGGGGGGGGAGAGGAGGAGAGTGTGTTTAATAGTGAAGGAAGCCTGGCCTCTCTTTTCAAGGGAACTTCTGATAGCATCTTCCTTTAATTATGAGACAGAATGTCATATCTGTGGTGACTACTATTTTTCATTAAATTAGGTAGCCCCTGCTTCATAAATTAAGGAAGAAATCTCATGAATAGAAGTTGCTTTGCCAGATTATAAGTGGTGTGTTGTTTATTTGTTGTTATTTGTAACCTTTTTATCCTTGGCATGTTCAGGAAAAGTAGGAGTGAGATTAAGATTAACCTATTGTATTACTTAAATTGGTGGCATCTAAATATAAATATGGCCAATTACTTCTAAATTTGTTTACCAGACCTTGGATGATTGAACCATGAATAGGGTTTACTGATTTTTTTTCCCTAAGGGAGATTTCATTCTGAAGATATTTAGAGCCCATGCTAACTAATATACTATCATTTTATTTCTGGCTTTTAAATAGATGTTAATTTCTATTAATAGGATAACTTTTGAATGTTTTTATGTATTTGTTGATTTTTATCATGAAGCCTAGGAGCTTGACCAATGCCCAGTTTGAATTCTGAAATGAAATTAATCTCTCAACATTGTCCATTAAGCCTTATGTCACCCCCAGCACCCAGTGAACTGGGCACAGCATTTGCACAAGGAATTCATAGGACTGAAGGGGGGGGGGATGAACATAATCTTAATTCTAAATTCTCTGATATGTATGATTCTTACAAAATTCTAGTTGAACCCAGACACAATTTTCAGTCCTAAATGCAAATGGATTTGATCTAAATCATGTTGTCAAAATGTACCAACAAAACACAAATTTAAAATATTTAAATGCACATCTTTTGATCTGTGGGTGACCCACAACTGACTTGTCAGTCATTTGGATGGTGGACCCCTGTGCATGTAGAGAATTTCCATTCTCCAAAGGAAGTTTTGTCATATTGCATGTCTCTTTTGACTTACCTTTTGAACCTTGGCTTGACAAGGAATTATGACCTAGACAAGAAAATGAAAATCTTTACCTTTGGTACTTGGAAGTAAATTCAAGATAATTTACTCATATCATTTATATAACATTCCCAGAATTGAAAAATGTATCTAATTTCTTATGATTTTTCTAGCTGTTTTTCTTCATGCCCTATCCTTAGAAATTAATGGGAAAAATTCACCAAGCAGCAAAATGCTCCTCACTTGGCAAATTGCCTCTACTGTTTTTTGTAGACAGAAATGTGGACAGATATTTATATTTTTGAGGATTCACTGCTGTTCATTAAGCAAAATGACCCGATGATAAACGATAAGTATTTTCATTGACTTTGCACAATCAGAGTTGCCTAATAGGCTAAAAGCCACATTCTCTTTGTGGACAAAATGAAAGGAAATTAGAAGAGCCCTGAAGTGGTATTAAATGTCTGATCACAATAGCATTTGGGCTCAATTGCCAAGCAAATTTCTCACCAAGACATTAGCCAAGGAAATGCTTACATATTTACAAAATAATTAGTGATACATAATAATTAGCATTGCATATTAAAGATGTTTGGAGTAGTTATGATGAAATGTTACTGTCTGTGTGCCTTCCATATGCTTCTTTAATTTATGAAATGTGCTTATCCCACAGCATCTGGGTGCATTTATAAACTACAAGTGCAATCAATTAACAATATGATAGATGCAGTAGGTAGAATGCTAATTGATGGGAAAAGCCCTCTTAGCTTACACTTTTTAGTTTTCAAATAGAAAAAAAGGATGTAACTAAGGATTTTAGGCTTTTGTATTAAGTTTAAAGATTTTAAAACTCAGCTTATACTCTGTCCATTTGGAAAATGACTCATTTGAAACTAGAGTTTACCCTGTCAAAATTAGTGCTCTTAAATCCAGTATTACGAGCACTAGCAAAATCCACAGGTGAACAGTATTAGTGAATATCTAATGATAGATACTTAGACCAAGTGGTGCCGTGTATTATTTAGTCTTCTCTTTCTCCTCCTGTTATCTCTACTCCCAGTGTTTTCTTTCTCTGCTGCTTTACCTGTGGTTTATGGACTAAAACACCTATAGATAGAAAAAATGACATTTATTTTGCTTCAGAACTCAAGATTATTAAACATAAACTATATGCTATGTGTAAATTCAGGATGGTATAATGACACCAAGCTCTGCTTTATATCTACTTTAGCATTTGATTTTTTAAAATTTATACCAAAGTTACCAATATTGACCCAAAAGATTGATTTTACCTTCTGCTGTCTTATATACATTTACTTGACAGCTGATATTTGAATCTCCTGCAGGCTTCCTTCCCTCATCATTCTGGCATAGAGAATGGAGCTAAGCACAATATTGTGGTGTAGGTAGGCAATTTCCTACTGTAGCATAATTGGAGAGAGTCAGAGACAATTATAAACTCATGGGTATCTCTAGATTCTCTTAGGAAATTCGAGACAGTGTGAGTTCAAACTGAGTAACAACCTCAAAAAAGCAAAAATATATGAGAGATATTTTCTATTTTTGTGTCATAAGTTGTGTGAATATCATAATTTAAATTGTGTGATTATCATAATTTTCACTTGCTCCTGAACTTTTCACTTTTATTTGAATTCAGTTGATTAACCATTCAGTAACTATCTCAGAACTATTTCCCAAAAATCAATGATATAATTTTTATTTCAGTGTTGTGCTATATATTTTTTGATCTGAAGATTAAGCCACAATGTAATTATTTCCTTGGTAATAAATGCATTCAAATACTTTTCTTACTATTTTCTAAAACTATAATGTAACACCTTTTATTATAAAGTCTCCCTTAGGTATTAATTACTTTAAAAACAAAAACTACATAAAAGGGTGGAAATGTCTTGAATGTTATTTTTAGGGAGCCAAAAGAAGTCAATCCCCAAAAGAAATCAGCACTGAAGTCTGTATGCTCTCACCTTAGTTTCCACTGCTTTTTCATTAAAACATAATGCATCCTGTAGAGTACCACAATCTTGGCTCTAAGCCTATTTCGTATTTTTTGATGAAAAATATGATTATGTAAGTCCACAGCCTAAATTTACTAGTAAATTCATGGGTAAAGTGGGTGTTTAACGGGATGGGAAATGCCATTACCTGACTAACTTCTTCACATTTTTCAAAATGAAAACTCTAGTAGAGTATAATTAAAAAGTTCCTTCCCAATCAAGCATCCAGTGAAATAAATTTACTTATAATGAAATATTTTACTTATTTACTTATAATTAAATAATACTTTACATGCAAATGTATAGATTACATATATAAAACAAAATGTATATATAATAAATAGAATTATATGTACAAAACTAAGGTTGCCTTTATGACTTCAAAACACTATTTCATTATGAGATCAAAATTTTACATAGAATTTTGACTTTTTGAAAATCTTATTTTGGTGTTGCGTAAGTATAGCCTCAGGGATCAATTCTCAATTACCCATGTGTGAACTGTCTACCTAATGGATTACTTTACATGATTAGATACGCTTTCTGAACCACTTACCCTCCATTGGCTTAAAAACCATTGTTTTCAATTATATACCATGGCTTCCTCCATTAGCACAGCTAGATTTGAGTGGATTGCCTGTCCATTAGGTTTGTAATAGGACTACAACATTTTCAGAGTTAAATATGTTATGTGTATGATATGTGTGTCTGTATAAAACATTGCTAAATATGTAGATGCCAAATAATAAGTTTGAAAAATACATATAACAAGCCAAAAACAAGCCATTTGGCAGGAATAGGTATTCTTGGGTTTGCCAAGAGTTTTCTTAGCCTTCAAGCAGTGTACCATCTCTTTCCAAAATGGTGAAATTTATAATGCATAAGCAATTACTGAGCACCCATATCAGTGCTTTTTGCTAGTTAAGAGCTGCTAATACATCTACTGGATTATTTATTTATACCAGAACTCAGTTAGATGTCATGGGAGACTCAAAGGAAAATAAGACACTTGCTGCCTTAAAAGTCCAGTTGAGGAGTCAGAACAGACACACACAAAACTAGAGGAACATTGAAGGCTGAAGTAGGTTACTTTATAGTATTAATGGACATATATTTGCTGATTGCCCTGCATTTTATGGTATCTTGGAGAAAAGAGAGTTTTATATGGCTTAAGAAGATGCATTAATGTTATTTTGCTGTATGTTACCTGTGTTTGTTCAAGCAGCTGTAGTTATCCAGTTATCAGATAATAAGTAATGCAAAAATCAGGTCAAGTCAGGTGGGCCACACATCCCTTTATACCAGTACTAGCTTGAGTAACAACAGGGCATTTTTAAGGGCTCTAAAGATATTTAAATATTAAGCAAGATCCGAAGTAGCTTATTTCAAAAACAATCAACATGTTCTACGGGTTCTCAGGACAACATACTGACTTAAAAGCCAGTTTTCAGGTTTTATGAATAATAAAAGTAGTACAAAATGTGAGCAAATTTTTATTTTAAAATCATCTTCATATTCAGTTTGTATTCACTGTCTTTAGTCACTAAAATTAGCCATTGTTGCCAAGTGTTTTCCATTAAAAAACAAGAAATCTGTTTCCTTTTACTGATGGGATGATTTGAAATATTGAATCATTTTTTTTCCAATGTAAATTAGACACTTTGGAATAAGTATAAATATCTCAGGCCTTTACAGTATAATTCAGTGTTCTTGTAAATTACTATAGCAATAATTCTCAGTATGTATGATTCTACTTCATTTTCTATCTCTTGATTTTCTTTTCTTTTTGGTGGGATAGGGTAGGTAGGTAAGTGTGGGTGGGTATTGGCAGTAAGCAAGGATCTGACCTTATGTGAAACAATTTTGAATAAATGATAATTATGTAAACAGTCTACTCATGTTACTGGAATGGTTATCAATACTATTTTCTCAGTAAATAGTTTAAAATACAGTGAATAATTAAGGGACATTTCATGAATCATTCTTTGGAACTGACTGAAATGATACCTAGGTATAAAATATCAAACTGAATAGTTCTTGATTGCTTTAAAAAATCTTAAGCCAGAAGTAAGCAAGCTGAGGTCACTGTTCAAAGGCATCTATTGCAATAAGGGTTTCCTAGATTCCTGACTTTCTAGTTTTCTACAGAGCCAGTAAGATTTCAATTGCAAGAGATGTTGTCCTTTTAAACAGAAGACTACTGATGCAATAACAAAATAAATACTGACTTCAGCCTATCTCACTGTACCTAGCAATTCCCTAAATAATGTATCAACTCTTTGCAGTATTTTAGGAAGAAATGTGAAGGTTTAAATTGATGAAATTAAGTGGAAAAGTATATGCTTGGTTTATTTGAAACTCTAAAATGGGAGGACATTTTCAAAGACATACCATTCAAACAAGGATTATACATGTTTTATGTCTGTAAATATACCAAAAGGGAGAGATTTATAGGGTACTTTTTATGGTCGTGGTTGTATTTCTTTTCCTTTGTGAATGAATCTGAATCTTTTTTAAGAGGATATTTTCATAAATATCAGTTTTGTCAATGCATATGTAATATATAATATTTGATCAGATCATTGTATTTTTATTTTTAAAATCTTATAATTAGGAATAATTTGAAATTATAAAAACATTATAAACATTTTATTTACTTTTATTTTTTTTTAGAGACAGGGTCTCAATCTGTCACCTACATTACAATGTAGTGGTCCAATCATAGCTCACTGTAACCTTGAATTTCTAGGCTCAAGCAATCCTTCTGCCTCAGCCTCGCAAGTAGCTAGGACTACAGGCATGTGCCACTAGGCCTGACTAATATTTTAACTTTTTTGTAGAGATGGGGTATCATTGTGTTGTCCAGGCTGTTCTCAAACTCCTGGCTTCAACTGATCCTCCTGCCTCAGCCTCCCCAAATGCTGGAATTACAGACATGAGCCACCAAATTCAACTGTAAGCTTATTTAGAGAGTTGTTTCTGTTATAATACTTCATGATTTTAGAGTGTGAAGAAATATGAGCTTCCTTTTTAAAAAAGTTTTAAAGAAAAGTGATCTTAGAAACACTGACTGCTTTTCACTTGGTCTCACCTGAATTTTGAGATGATTTGGCATTTGAGATTTTCTTATGGAATTTTCACTTTGAAGATAGAGTAAGAAATGTTCAGTCATGGCTAGTAGTAATTAGAGGGAAAGCTCCTTTTTTCCCTGTCCATAATTTAGAATACAGAAGCTTATTCAAAAGTAAGCCTGGTAGATTTCAAAAAATTAGCAATTTGGAATCCTAGAAATTTACTATAGGAAGAAACAGTTTCTTTCTATCTTGACAAATGAGAATAATTTTTATAGTATATGTTGCACAAAAGCAAGCAAACTTTTGTGAAACCAAAGACATAGAGCCCTATACTGCCTGTTCTTGTGTTCCAAAACTTCCACCTTTGCCAATTTGAAATTTAAAACTATTTTTCATACAGTGAATGCCAAAAGAGCAAAATTTTTCATTGTTAGTGAAAATATTTATTGGAGTGTGTCAAGAAACTGATTCCATCTCTGGTATTCCTAATAAGAATCCTGTGGTGTAATATCACAAGTTGCATCTACTAAATAATACCCATGCGAATGCTGTGCCTATCCTGTGTATTATTAGGCTTTATATCAATATTTTATAGACTGCTGCATGCTCTGGACTAAAAGCCCTTCATCCCCAAATCAGTTTCAGATTCTCTTCTAAGAAATAAGGTGTACTGTGGCTTCTAATGGAAGAAGGAAGTAGAGTAGTGATATAAGCAATTAACACAATCTGAGAAAAATTTTATGACTAATAAAGATTTGTGGAAAAATAAACTTTAAAAGTGCTAAATGAGATCCTGTGGGAACAGACTTCCACATTTATAGAAAAATACTTATAAAAAGAAAGTGCTTCTATATTGAGAACAAATGGTTAGGTGTATAGGCCAAATCATTTTTATGGATGTTCAAAATTTATATATAAAAACTAATATAGCTTGTAAGTATCTATAGTATAGTACAATAATTGGAAATCTTTAGCAGGGAAATAGTCTTCTTAGACACAAGGAAATGAAATTAAATCTTTGACATTTATCAATTTAACACTTAATATATGGAAGGTAGAGCAAATTACATTTTAATTTTTTTTTATTTGCTTTCAGAATCTAAACAGAGACTATTTACCTCCCACCAGGATTCAGATGCTCTGGGAAACCAGCAGTTGGGAGCATAAATTGATATGTACAGTAGAGGTTTAGCTTTTAATTTTATAATGTTAGATTTGATTTCCAGAACCCAGTTAGCTTGAAGCACTTCAACTTTAAAGCATTCCTCAGACCCTGCAAAGCTTTTGAAGCGTTGTGTCTCTGTGGGCCTAGGGAGAGAGATGAAGAGCAAGGTGTTAATGAGGTGTGGTCTCATAACTTCTCAGCCAGCTCTTGTCATTAGAGCCACATGATATTAATATGTGGGCCTGGTCTGTTACAGCAGCCCTAGAACATATGACTGATTTACCAGCAATAGTGTCTTTTTTGGCTAATCACCTGTTACATGTTTTATTCTTTTTAAAAATTTTTATTTTTTAAATTTTTAATTATTATGGGTACATAACAGCTATATATATTTATAGGATACATATAGTGTTTTGGTACAGGCATACAGTGTGTATATATCAAATCAGAGTAATCGGGGTATCCATCACCTCCAGTTCCATTCATGTTGTTACAGATAGCAGTATTTTTTTCTCTTTTTTTATGGCTGGGAATAATTCCTCTCACCATTTTAAATGTACTATAATTGATAGAATTGGCTCTGGGAAGAGTATTCATGGGTTCTGAAAGAGCTTTGTCATATAACTCAACATTCTTAGATCATTTTAGGTAAAGTGTTTGAAAAACAACCTCAGTTTGTTTTACTGTTTTGTTTGGTGGGAGATGTTCAAGGATAGGGGGAAATCATCTATGAGGCAGTTTTCTTTGTCTTAAGGTTTCATGTATATAAGGAGTGAAATCTTTTTTTTTTTAGCCCCTTTCTAAAATATTGAAATCAAGACTTATTTCCCATCTCACTGAGTGAGAGATTCATTCCATTAATACTTTCTCCTAAGTCTGAAGACCTCCATCATGGGCCTCCATTATAAAATGAACCTAGACACCCTGCCACTGCCCAAATTCATGTGGAGGAAACCCTTTTCTTTCCTTTTCTCCTTCCTTCTGCTCATTTTCTTTCTTAATCATTTCGTGTTTGCTTTGCCTCTTTTCTAGTTTGCCTCTACCAGAAGTCTGCTAGTGGCACCTACTGCTTTCTTCTGCCCCATGCCTGTCACTTAAAAAACAAATTTTGAAACCAACACATAGCAATAAAATTACTAAGTCACCAGCCATTTGTGGATGTCAAGAGAATTCAGTTCACTGAGTTCTGTGATGTTGAAAGGAAATATATTGAGCACAACCTAATTCTTAGATAAATAAGAACTCTGCAGGATCTTAGCATGGGAAAGTAAAATTACGCATTGCAAAAATAGCTAATTGGACAAAAACAATAGTGTCCTCAGAATATAAATATTGGAAATTTAATTTTTAGTGAATTACTAACATTTGTTTTTTAATTTTATAAGTTTTATTTGTATTGTTTTAATTTTCTCTTTTAAATCAAGTGCATAATTTTTGTTGTTAAAATTTTTATTTATATAGTATCTTAATTCTTAGGACACTTAATATTAAATGACATAAGAGTAGGCAAAAAGTGATTTTACTAGAGACAACATGTCCTGTGACAATATCCCTACCTTGAATAATGGTGAAATAGTCATACTGTAATTACATTAAAACCAGTTATTTCAGGTAGCAACTATCACTTTTAGCTGAAAAGTGAATTGTTTAGAATAAATTTCACTCCATTGATGAAAGTCATTTCATCTCTGTCAGCAAGGCATTTCATGAATAGAACATTATTATATTTATGTGTTCATTATTTATATATTTCTAAAACTTTTTACTTCGAAATAATTATAGATTCACAGAAAATACAAAGGCAGATACGGAGAGATTTCTCCACCCTTCATCCAGCCTCCTCATCATGTTAACATCTTACTTAACTATAGTCCAGTGTCACAACCAGAATATTGATCTTGGTATAAATCATAGAGCTTATTCAGATTTCACCAGGTATACACTCATTTGTGTGTGTGTGGATGTGCATGCATGTGTAGAGCTATGCAATTTTATCACAGGTGTATCTTCTTGTAAGTACTACCACAATCAAGATACTTAACTGTACCATTACCACAGGGTTCCCTTGTGTAACCCTTGATTATTACATTTTAAAGAAACATATGAAAGATCATCTGTACTAACCTAATTATATTGGGATGGAAGTGATTTTTATTTGCCCCAGGTCAATGGATTAGATAGATAACTGATAGAACTCATAGTAAAATCTGAAGTTACTCTATCCTGTCCTAGATCAGTTTCAGACATCACATATTACATTCTCAATTTTTAAAGTAGGCAGTCATTTAACAAGTTTAGAGATAAGAGATTTGAAGCAAACAAAATTTTTCAGTAGTAGAGTTGGCCTATTTCATCACAATTCTGGATTTTTTTTAAATCCTGATACTATATAATTCATTACTGGATGCAAATAGGTTAAGGGAATATTAACAGTAAATGGAAGCATAGATTAGTATTCATACAAAGTATCAATTGCTTCATAAGCACTCAGCATGGTTTCTAAGGGGCAAAGAGGCAGTTCATTGATTTCTGTAAGGAACCTTAGAGATTTAGCTGCAAATTATATAATTAATACTCTTCACCCAAAGAATTGAATATCTACTCCCTCCCATGTACACACAAACACACCAGATATATTTTAGAGATGAAGCCTCACTGGGTTGCCCAGGCTGGACCCAAACTCTTGAGCTAAAGCAATCCTCCTGCCTTAGCCTCAGGAGTATTTGAGATCACAGGTGCCTGACACCATGTGTGGCCATACTAGATAATTTAAAAATTATTTTTCCCTTCCAATTTGTACTTAATGCTTACTTTAATTTAGTTACCATTTATAAAATTATTGTGGTGAGGCTTCTGGGGGAGAATTGGGAACTAGGGTGTCATCACTGCACATGATTTGATTCATTCACATGTTTCATATCCACTTTGGATGTAATTTTGTTGCTCCTCACCTTTGAAATTGAATCTGATTATAAAAGAGAACAGAATTTACCTGGAAAGGGTGTGGGACTAAAGAATTTCCTGCTGTAACAGCATCATAGAAATTAGAGATGTAAAGACCCATTAGCTGCTTTGTCCTATTTCTGTAGAAATTTCAGCGAATATTTTTTAAAGTCCTAATCTATTTTTGTTTTAAAATAAATGGGAATTCAATGCAGATTCTTGTTAGAGCTTGAAACTGCTGATTGTTGTGTTTTCCGGGTTGTTTTTCTTTTTAGATCCTCTTGACAGTTTGCATAGCTAATTATCGTGTTCTCATTTGTTTAATTCCAGCATTGCTGTAGGCTTTATAGAATGGGTGTAAGGGAAGGGGAGCACAACTGCAGTTTTCAAGTACATCAACAAGCTGTTACAGAAAGGAGTGTGGGGGATAAAGAGAATGATTATGTGTGTGCGCTTTGGAAGATGGGTCAAAGTTAAAACAGCAAAGTGAATTTTAAATAACTGCCAGGATTTGGTAGCTAATCATGCTTTTTTGAAGGGTTTTATCAGTAACCAAATACAGGGGATGGTGGGGTCCCCTGTGGCCTCATTTTATGTAGGGCACTCTATTATGATGAATCATTGGCAACAAAAGTTTTTGCTAGGAAAACTGAAGCATATATGCTCTTAGAAATCCAGCTGTTTTTTACTGGTGAATGAATTTTTTTTAAAAAAATTGATTTGTGTAGTTACTAATTTCACATGAAAAATGCCTTGTAATTTGAAGAGAATTTGTTGATAATTATTTCCTGTACCAAATAGATAGCTTTAAAGCTTATCAATTTTAGTGTTCTGTAGATTTCATTTACAGGGAAAAGAATATATTTTTTTCAAGAATTACTGCATTATTGCCAATGAATCATGAGTCCATTGTACAGGTTTTGGAATGTAGAAGTGTTAACTAGACCATTTAAGAACAATTAAGGTGGTAATAGGAGACAAAATGATGTCTTTTGCATGTCTTTTTTTTGGTGTTGGTGGCTCTGGTATTTTTTGGGGGGAGAGGAGGAGACAGGTATTGATTTAAAGACTAGATTTGCATATTTTCACTTTCCTACCTGCACTATAGAATGGGGCCCATATGAAAAGAGTCCCCACAATTCATTAGGCCAAAATTGGCTTTAATACATCATCCCTACCTAATTATCTTGCTTCTTGAAGGATATCTTGCTTCCTCAATTTTAAATGAGGAAATTAACATGAAATTCATAGAAAAGTTTCACAGCTATTTCATATTGAGAGAACAATTCTGTGTTTGCAAGAATGGTGAAAATGATTATTGTTGAATTTATATGTATAGCTTCTCTTAGAGCAGCCAAATTAGTGAGATTGGTTAAAAGCAGATAATGAATGACTATGTCTCTACATATACATAAATAAATAAATAAATAAATCATATTTTGTGGCTTCTGGTTGCTATAAGCAACAGAGACAGTTATTTCCAAACCTTTTAAGACACAATGAATGACAAACATTGTGTGCTCAGTGATTTGAACCTCCATATATGAACTCGATTGAATTCTTGAAAGCTAAGATGAAACTCATACACATTCTTGCAAACCATTGCCATAGCAACATACTTAAAATCTCCAAGGTCTGTCTCCCTTGAGTTTGCATCTGCAGTTAGCTTATTATGGAACAAAAAAGAAGGCTTTACGACTCAAAAATGCTTTGGAATGGTTGGGAGTATGTTTTGAAATAAAGTGGAGTTTAAAAGTCAAGAAGCCAAATAGAACATTCAGGAAAAAAATACATTTGCATTGTTCATGCAATATTTGGCTTTTTCTCCTCCTACTTTACAATGTTCTAGGCAAGGGCAAATGTGGATAGTCTACCTCTTGTGCTTATCAGGAGACTGGGGTTATGCCCACTTTAATGAGAAATATATTGCTTCCTGGCATGCTAGAGATAACATATATGCATGGCTTATAAAATAATAATAAAGGTGATAATAGCTAAGTATTATTAATATTTAGTGTTTATTATGTACCAAGAACAGAATTAAGCATGTCATCTATCATGATTTTCTTCATTCTTACAACTATACGGCAGAGATTGGTACTGCATCCCTCCCATTTGATAAATGAGAGGTTAAATAAATCACCCAAGTTCTAGTAGCTCAAAATGCTAGAACCCATGACTGTATCTGACTTCAGTGACTGATCACCAGATTACTGGGGAATAGTGATCCCATAACTTATAGCAGGACTCCTCAATTTGTTAACCAAACAGCTGGTCCTAGGAAACCAGAAAGATGCTACCATGGAGAACATCTCTCAGTCTGATCACTGAATCACCCACTCTGAATAAATACAGCCAGACCCCTGCATGGCTGCATAACGTTCTCTCTGTAAGCATAAGCCAGTGGTGTGCCTCCCAGTCTTCCTGGCAGAAAGGTGGTCAAAGACAATAACCTTTCTTATAACATTGTTTAATCTCCATTTCCCTCCCAGCATTCAGTGGAACACAAAAGGAGGCCTGGTTTCTGTTTGAATAGATCTTGGAAAATAGAAATTGAGATACTTAGAATCTAATTTCAATAGGGTTTTGGACTCAATGAAATAAGATAAGCCTATGTGAGAATTATCATAGTGAAAATATTACTGTGAGAGTCACTTAAAAATAAATGTACTACCTTCACAGAGAACTTTGCACTTGGAATAAACTAACAGGTCTTGTGTATTTTAAGCCATGAGCCTTGACTGAGTGCTTGAAAGCACCTGGGTTTTCTTATTTGAGACCCTCTCTGATGCTCCTTCCC